CAGCGGCAAAAGCGCCTGCCTGGCAAGCTCAAGGTCGTGAGTTCGGTTCCCGGTACCGGAGAAAACCCCCAAAAAAAAAAAAAAAAAAAAAGATTGGAATTAATATGATAAATAAAGCTAAGCTGTGGAGGCCTGGCCACCCTAGCCCTATTTTATGTGCTGACCCACTTACCTCATCTGAGCCTGGCGCCCCAGATTGAAAGCCCAAGGGCTTTCGGCCCTGCCATTTGACTTGGACCTATGGCCTTGACCGAAATTCCTATCGGTTTCAATTTGAGATCTGATATTTCCTCCCAAGCCATACAGCCTTAAAATTCCCACGCCCACCCACAGCACCTTGTCCTTGCACTAGCGTCATTTCATATATCCTTTCACTCTCCAGACTAAGAAAGGACGTGGGTTTCACACCTAATTAAAAGAGACTGTATTGCCTGCTTTTTCTTGTTCACTTTCTCTTACACACAGGCAGCTTTTTATTCTCATGCTCAGCCTTGTCCCTGGACCCCCAGAGCTTAAAGGACAGAGCAGAGCAGAATTCCTACAGAACAGAGAGGCAGACCCTCTGCCATCTATCTCACCAGGCAGCTTTTCCCTGCGGAGCTCATCCCTGATTCAGCTCCCTCTGTTTATACCCTACTATAGAGCACATGCCGTAGTACTGCTCCTTGTGTATTTCAAGTTGAATACCAGCACAGGCTGACTTTACGTTTTCACTTCGGTGGAAAGGGTGCAGATTATGTTAAACCACACAGAGAATTCTCTTCAGCACTATTTTTTTTTTTTACTTTGCCATCACTTCTATGTTCATACAACTGTGGATTTTTTTTTAGAGTGAGGAGGCGTCCTCAAATACACAAAATTTGTGTGAAGTTGTGTGGTTCTGTAGAACTGAGGGGGTTGAGTTTTGAGGGGAGAGAGACTAGTTGTTGTGTGGGTTTTTTTTCCTGAATAGCCCAAATGCCTATTCAGTGCCAATCTAGGAAAGAATAGATTTAGCATTTTCACACCATTCCTTCCTATACAGTCCTTGAATAACCATCTAATCAAGATTTGTTTTCAATGGGGAATAAATCTTCTACAGTAGAGTATTTCAAATTTATTCCATTGGAATCTATACATTAATGCCCATTGGTTGAAAAGGACGTGTTCACAAAAGCCTGGACTTCGCCTTGCTGTGGCAGAAACTTTTTCCCACTGTATTAGTGTTAAAAATGAAAGAAAGCCTGGGAAAGGAATTGCCTCGGCATTGTGTGCTGCAGGAACGAGCCGTGCTTGAATGGAGAGGCAGCGTCCCCCTTCGCATCTGTACCCATCTCAGCAGAAAAATGATTCAACTTTTCACGGCTGTTCGCGCAGTGTGAGGCCGGTACACTTCGGGAGACGTTTAAGAATTATGTCTGTAGAAATCCAGCTAGGGTTATCAGGCCAGGTTGCATATGTGTGTAGGTTTATGTTTCTCTCTGTGGCTATTAGTGATGTTACTAACATAACTCAGATTATTTAGCAAATACTCTGTTTAGATGGAATAAATGTGAAATTCAATTAGGTCCAACAAGTAGTTTGAGTTTTTCTCATGCAGTTGTGTGTGTGTGTACGTATGTGTGAATTTGTGTGTGTGTGTGTGTGTATGTGATATGATGACACCTTTTGATGTTGGCCATTTCTCGTCTCCAAAGCAATCTCTGTCATAACTTTCAGTGCCTTTTTTTCTTTTTTGGTACCGGGATTCAAACTCAGGACTTTGCTCTTGCCAGGCAGGTGCTTGTGCCACTGAGCCATATCCCTGGTCCTCAATGCCTTTTCTTCTGCTGAGAATAAGGATGGCCCTAGATCTCTGAGCATTCCAAGTGTCATTCCCCAGGGATCCACTGTGTGCAGAGAAAAGAGCATTGGGAAGCATAGACCCTAATCCCAACCTTGCCACCTGCTAGCTGTGTAAAACTTCAGGCAACTAACTTTAATGCATTGAGAAGCCCAACTTCTTTTTATGTCAAATAGGAATAATAAGATCTGTCCTGAAAACATAGGATTGTTGAAATATGTAAATGAAATGTTACAAGTGAGAGAATTTTGCACTGCCGGTTACTACATGGATATTATTATGAGAACTGTGAGAGAGATGCTTCCAAAAATTATCTGAAAGAAGACAACTCTTCAGCTGGTGTTAGGATCAAATGTGTGTTTTACCTGAATAGAAAAAAGTTTTTAAAGTGAATAAGCCCATCCTATCCAGAGATGATGATTGTACTGCCACCTATTTACAACCAGCTTTACTGCCTACTGTTTTCCTTAAAGGCAAGCAAGTGGGGCTGGGGATTTAGCTCAGCAGCACAGTGCCTGCCTGGCAAGCGCAACATCATGAGTTCAATTCCTGGTACCAGGAAAAAAAATAATAATAATAATAAATAAATAAATAAATAAAGGCAAGCAAGTGACAGCAAAAGTGTATCTAGTGACAGCAAAAGTCTACTTAGAAAACTGTACATTTCTGTGCCTGGACAAGTTGTTTTATCTCTTGCATTGTTCCCCTTTTAGAAGTTAGATGAAGCCCAAGAAACATGAAAACCATGTTAAGTCCTGGGCAGGGGTAGAAGTGGCTGAAGAAAATACTAGACAGACTTTTAGTACAGCTTTACAGCAAATGTGTGCACACCTTCAGGGCAAAGTGTGAAATAGTGAAGCCTGGGTTCAGATGCCAGCTTTTCCACCAATTACTTACGTATCCTTGAGCATGTTCCTAATTTCTCTGGCCTCAATTCCTCATCTATAAAATGGGGAAAATGATAGTAACAATATAATTTCTATGAAGATTAAATAAGATTAAATAAAATACATAAAGTGACATGACAGTGCTCTAAAAAAAAGTTTGCTCTTGTTTTTATTGTACATGAGTGTGGAATCCGCAAGAATTTATAATGTTATCTGTTGACTGAATTCCTGAACATCCCTTCCCGGGTTACTGCCGCCTTCCTCTAGGGCCACATTTTGTATTAGAACAATTGTAGGGAGATCACTGTGATTCTTGATCTGGCAAAGAAAATTTGTTTTACATAAGTGGAAGCTGTATCCTAGAACAACATTTCAGCCATGTAACAGACCCCATGGAGGTGGGAAGAAGGGACTGTCTCACATAAATTAATGCAAATTGTATCACTGAATGTGAACAGAGCTTGCAGGCATTTATTAAATTAAGTTCTCTCAGCATAAGGATGACCACATGAGGCAGGGTAGAAAAGCTACTAGAGTCTGGACTTCCCAGAGCAGGTCCTTATTGTCAGGCAGAGGAGAAAGAATCTGCAAAAGTAGGCTCCCTCCTTTCTGCAGACCTTGAGCTAGAGATTGTTCCTCGCAATCGGGGACAGGAATCAGGGTCACGGACCGGGCAGCAGTACTTGGACATCCTTGTTTTGAAAGCCCTCTTACCTGGTTCTCCTAGACTGATTGTTCACTTGTAAAGGCAAGAATGGAAATTTGGTTGAGGAATAATTTGGAAAGAGGTCTTCTGGAGAGCCATCTAAGAGATGAGGAAGAGAAATAAGAAAGCCCCAGGACTTAGTGCTGTGGCCTTCTGTTTCTTTTTCAATGTTACGGTTGATACATTGTGTCAACTTGGGGAGTCTAGAGGTTTGGCTAAGTGACTCAGCAGGAAGCCAGGGTGCTTACTTTGTATACATCCTGAGCCCGTGGAAGAGGAGGGCATGGAGAGTATGTGAGAGCTACACGCCCCTTAGGTGGGGGTAGCCTGTTTACAATGTAAGGCAGGGGAAAAAAGCTGCTTGGCGCCAGTCTGCCTTTTTGCTCTGGCTGCTTTGCTGTTCGGCTGCCATTCCCCGCTTTGCTCTTGTTGCTTTGCTGTCTTCTGCCTCGGAGCCAGCCAAGTACGGACTGAAACCTCCACAAACTGTAAGCTAAATAAACCTTTCCTTCCTTCATTTTGGGCGTTGGGTATTTTGTCTCAGCAAAGAGAGAAAAGTAACCAAGACATTCAACATGGATCCAGATGCTACTGAAATTATCCCTTAGCTGCAACGCTTAACATATGGGTTAGCATTGGGTCAGGGTAGCAGTGGGTCAGGACCACATAGCTGACTGTTGCCTTCCTCTTGGGAGCTGTTTCACAGTCACCCACAGCAGGTGCATAGAGCATCCTATTACCCACGGTAAATGTGTGTCCTACTCATGGTTTCCTGCTGCTCTCCTGGCCCAATAAACAGTGCGCCTCTTCACTCTTAAAAGTTCCCAGTTTGGATGATACGTGTGATCACCTAGTGTACGTACGCTAGCCTCCCAGCCCTGACCTTTTAAACTTTTCTCGTTCACTAAACCTCAAAACATCACCCGTATCACACATAACCATCCCAAAGCAGTGCTAAGAAGGGTATCAGAGATGATCCCGAAAGCAGGCAGTGAATGCCCTGTAGCTAGCAGATTGCATTCTGCACCCAGTCCACCCAGTCCGTCATCTGGACGGTGGCAACTGGTGGACATCTTGGTCTGGATGAATTTTACAGGAATTTCTGCCTACATGATGTGAGTCATGGTAATATGCCCTATAAGCTAATAGAAAGGGAATTTATTTCTTAACTATGAATATAGTTGCTCTGTTTGAATAAAATAAGGAACTTTCATAAACTGGGGGAAATGTAAACTTTCCCCAAGGCTTATTTAAAGTGGAGGTAGTGTTCCCTGAGAACAAGCCTTCCACTGCCTCGCACTTCTGCTGTGCTGAAATTGTAGGACTAGCAGGCAGATGGCACATATGGTTTTACTTTGGACTGACACCTTCAGCTGAAGCTCTGGGGGATTAATTCGGATTCCATATCCAAAAGAGCTGGGGCACTAAGGTGGAATTGAAGTCTGGATGTGAAGCCTTGTCCCTCTCCCGACCCGTGCCTGCAAAGAGGGCGCTTCTAGCATTACTGCTTTGAGACCTCCGTGTGAGGAATGCAGCCAGCTGGATCTGACCTGTGCCGTTTTTTGTCTGTCTTGCCGCACTGCAGGTGACATCAGTTGCAAGGGGATGACCGAGCGCATTCACAGCATCAACCTTCACAACTTCAGCAATTCCGTGCTCGAGACCCTCAACGAGCAGCGCAACCGTGGCCACTTCTGTGACGTGACGGTGCGCATCCACGGGAGCATGCTGCGCGCACACCGCTGCGTGCTGGCAGCAGGCAGTCCCTTCTTCCAGGACAAGCTGCTCCTCGGCTACAGCGACATTGAGATCCCGTCGGTGGTGTCCGTGCAGTCGGTACAAAAGCTCATTGACTTCATGTACAGCGGCGTGCTGCGCGTATCGCAGTCTGAAGCCCTGCAGATCCTCACGGCCGCCAGCATCCTACAGATCAAAACCGTCATAGATGAGTGCACGCGCATAGTGTCGCAGAACGTGGGCGATGTGTTCCCGGGCATCCAGGACTCCGGCCAGGACACGCCGCGGGGCACTCCCGAGTCGGGCACGTCGGGCCAGAGCAGTGACACGGAATCGGGCTACCTGCAGAGCCACCCACAACACAGCGTGGACAGAATCTACTCAGCGCTCTACGCTTGCTCCATGCAGAATGGCAGCGGTGAGCGCTCCTTCTACAGCGGTGCGGTGGTCAGCCACCACGAGACTGCGCTCAGCCTGCCCCGCGACCACCACATGGAAGACCCCAACTGGATCACCCGCATCCACGAGCGCTCGCAGATGGAGCGCTACATGTCCACCACCCCCGAGACCACGCACTGCCGCAAGCAGCCCAGGCCCGTGCGTATCCAGACTCTGATGGGCAACATCCATATCAAGCAAGAGATGGAGGACGATTATGACTACTACGGGCAGCAAAGGGTGCAGATCCTGGAGCGCAATGAATCTGAGGAGTGCACAGAAGACACTGACCAGGCCGAAGGCACCGAGAGTGAGCCCAAAGGCGAAAGCTTCGATTCAGGAGTCAGCTCTTCTATAGGCACTGAACCCGACTCGGTGGAACAGCAGTTTGGGCCTGGGGCGACACGGGAAGGCCAGGCCGAGCCCACGCAACCGGAGCAGGCTGCTGAAGCCCCTGCTGAGGGCAGCGCACAGCCAAACCAGCTAGAAACAGGTGCCTCCTCTCCAGAGAGAAGCAATGAGGGGGAGATGGACAACACAGTCATCACTGTCAGCAACAGCTCAGATAAGAGCATCCTGCAACCGCCTTCGGTCAACACATCCATCGGGCAGCCGTTGCCAAGTACCCAGCTCTACTTACGCCAGACGGAAACCCTCACCAGCAACCTGAGGATGCCTCTGACCTTGACCAGCAACACACAGGTCATTGGCACAGCTGGCAACACCTACCTGCCAGCCCTCTTCACTACCCAGCCTGCAGGCAGTGGCCCTAAGCCTTTCCTCTTCAGTCTGCCACAGCCCCTGGCAGGCCAGCAAACCCAGTTTGTGACGGTATCCCAGCCCGGCCTGTCGACCTTCACTGCACAGCTGCCAGCGCCACAGCCCCTGGCCTCATCTGCAGGCCACAGCACAGCCAGTGGGCAAGGTGAAAAAAAGCCTTACGAGTGCACTCTCTGCAACAAGACTTTCACCGCCAAACAGAACTACGTCAAGCACATGTTTGTACATACAGGTGAGTATAGGCTCCTCGACAGACCTGGCAGCAGGGGGGAAGGGGGCTGCGGGGAAGAAAGAGCAGGACTGCAGGTAGAAGGGAAGGTATGGGATCATCTTTCAGATTTTAAGGAAACTCTACCCCAAAGCCTCTTCTAGAAATCCCAGCTGTGCCAGAGTCATAGGAATGAAGTACCCTGCCACTGAAGTATGAAATCACAGAAACCCTTTATGGGAAAGGGATTTCCTAGGGCTGTGCAGCCTGCAGAAGAAAAGAATCAGGGCCTAATGTAGGCTTTATCCAAGTACTTGACTTTCAGAGGCAGCTTAATGCAGTGGTTCAGAGCTTGAGCACTAGAACCAGATTACATGGATTTGAATTCAGGCTTAGCCACAGCCAAACATTGTCACCTTGAGAAAATCAATTTTTCTGTGCCTCAGTTTCCTTGTCCAGAAAATGAGAATACCTTCTTTATAGTGCTGCTTTTGAAGATTATATTAATTAGCATACATGAAGTTCTTAGAAGAGTTTGTAACACATAATAAACATGGTATAAGTAGTAGATATTATTGACATTATGAAGATAGCTGGGAGGAAGGTTTCAGAACTGGAGCAGTGATTGAAAGTTCTGCGGAACTTCAACTAAATAGAAGAAAACTTATTAGCAATTGGAGCTGCTCTGTACAGATTGTTTCCAAAAGAAGTGAGTTCCTTTACCTAGAGGTACTTAAGGACAGAATGGATGATTATTTTATAGGACTGACATAGAGGGGATTCGATTATCAAGATGAGTGTCTCCCTGGATTTTATAATTCCAGAGCTAAGATCTCCTGCCTCTCAGGCAGTACTTTTTCTTAGTTCCATAATCATCCATACACGTATGATTAATATTTCACGTAGATTCTCTGTACCTAGAATGCTGACCACAGTGATGACATCATATTTGAACTTCTTACGAGAGTTCACTCTTCTGGTAAACCTGTGGTTCCAGAGACCACAAATAATTAAGTGACAATTTGCCAGAGAAAAGTTGAATTCCAATACATGAAAACAAATTGTTTTCTTAAAGCAGCCTGTTTCTTAGCTGAAATTGTTGTGAACCTGAGATAGGACATAAAACATGTATGTTTAAATTGAGAAAGAGAAAACAACCAATAGATATGGACACAAGGTACCCAACAGTGACCAGAACAACTGAAATAGCACATTATGTAAAATGAACTTTGTCTTCTTTGCAGTCCAGTTTAAGACAAGACATTATGTAAATCAATGTACGTGTCTTTATACAGATCAACTGCACTTAAAGATTATGATTTTCACACCTCCAAATAAACATGGTGACTCACTACTGAATTTAGAAAGACAGGTAATTGCAAGTCACTGTATTTACTTGGGGCACTTGTGAATGCAGTAATAACCTGAGATCAATCAAGAGAAGTTAATCAACTAGCAGCATTTTATTTATATAGCAGCATATGGCAGAGTGCTCTCAAAGAGTTTATGTCATTTCTTCCTCTGAATAGCAGTTATAAGATATCAGATTAAGGGTTGGTGCAAAAAAGAGACCATTTGTGGAGGGTTCTCCTTAGCCAGAGTTAACATTGCTAGTCTTGGATCTGTAAACATCTGTTGTCTTATTCAGTACATCTCTTCCAGGAGAACTATCAGATATAAAATTCACACATTGTATTAGACCACATATTGAAGCATTGCTTTAAATTTGCAATATTAAATGTTCAGTATACTACCAAAAATTGTCCTTTTTGATGCATTCATCCTATAGACTAACCACAGGATTCTGTAATTAACCTGTTAGAAAACCAGCAATAGATTTGCACACTTAGACATCATAGATGCAAACAGCTGTAGATAAAGTCACTTTATATATCTGAGTTATGCTGAAAGTATGGTCCTCAAAGTGCTAGCAAACTGTGGAGGTGTTTGCATTAGTGCATATAATGTGGCCCACATCTAGAAATAATTAATCATGCACATATATCAGCTGGGCAACACATTTTTAAAAAGCAACACTCTCTTCCCTCTCATTCTAGAATGGTTTTGCAGTGGTAGTTTGGGAAGACCATCTGTCTTTTAAGCCTTTCGTATAACTAGAAGAGTCTGTAAGAGAAGAAAGTTTAAGAAAAATTGGTCACGTTTTCAAAAGGCAAGGTAGCTCGAACATGTGGAGGTAATTAAGGACCTCAGTTCAATGTGGCCCACATTTCTAAAGTTCTCTCTACTTTTTTAGTAAAACATCAAAAAAAGTGGGACCTCCCAACTTTACAGGAGCCCAGTGTCATTTTCAATGATGAAAATCCAGAGGCAAGTTTCAAATGTTAGTATTAAAAAGATTCTGGAAAGTACTGTGGATACTTGGAAGAGCAGAGGTGGACTTGATGTTCATACCCATGGTCTATCTGAAAAGAATCCTACCAAGAAGAATGACTGTCATTATTACTTGCACCACCTCCACCTAGGAAACACTGAGTTCCTTTGCTCTGCATCTCATCTCTGAATATGCATTTTGAACGTGTTTCCTTCCTTTGTGGGATTTAGGCTGAATCAGTGTGATAGTCCTAGGGCTGCCTAGACTTCCTTCATAGCAATTACTTTTTTATTTCTGAACAATTTTTATAAGAGTGAAAGAAATTTCCTCACCTAATCGTTCTTTACCTACTGCCAAACAAGCCACAGTAGGACTTCTTTACCTCTCAGAATTTTTTGTATCATTTATTCTGGCTTCCTAAGAGTTGTGAAGAAGGAACTCATGAGTTTAGGACATGTTTGAAAGCAAAGGAGTTAGAGAAAAACAAAGATAGCACAAACCATCCTGGTATGGAAGACATGGAACAAAGCAAGGTCTTTCCATATGTCTCCAATCAAGGAAAAAAAAAAAAAACAGAGGTCAAAATAGACAAATGTGAAAAGGAAGGTAGAGGATATTAGAAGGGTAATTACTGGATAGCTCAGGTAGACAATGAAGCAAAGCAATGGGAAGAATTCAACTATAACCATAGAGCAGTGTGATCCCCATACAAGGAGCGTGCAGATTCCCTCCCAACCCCGCCACACATCTTCTGTCAGAACTTTGCATGAAGCTCAGCAACCTGTGCTCTAACGAGGCCCGATTTATTCTGAAGTTGAGAATTGCTGCTTAGAGAGCTGAGCCCGGGTAATTAGGAGGAGAATGACGTCGGGTTGCTTTTCCTATATAGCATTGTTTCCTAAAATTCCACTAGCAAGAATCTATATGTTAGGAAAAAGTAAACCAGAGTTATGGACAAAAGCTTGAATTTGTAGTGGCTAAATTATGTTTCAGAAGCTGTCTCTCGGCTTAATTAAATCCAAATTATTAAAACAAAAATAAGAAGCTGCCTGTCAACTCTAAGCAGTGAGCGCAGTCTTCCAAACTACAGAGGTACCACGACAAATGCACCCCTGCTGATACTGACTAGTACAGTCCTGACTTGTGTTACACATGTGGCCATCTTCACACCTTCCCATTAGAATGAAAAGTCTGAAAGAGCAGAAGCACACATATAATGTGTATCATACATCGGTGTACCCAACATATAATACTGTACAAATAGTAAGCATCCAATCATATTTAATCAATGACTGAACCAAATCCTTCCACAATGGTGTCTAATGACTTCCCAAGGGTGACTTGTTTATTTTGTGATGTAGCTCCATAGATATATTAAATATTTTCTCCAAAGATCTAAACATGTTACAAATAGCATGTTCTGTTACTTTGTTCTACGTAACCAAATAACACTCATAATAATCGGAATGACCAGGATGGTTCTGGAGTATTTATTAACCTCCAAATGTAAGATTACCAGATGTAGCAAACAAAGAGATGAAACAACCATTTCAATATTAAATTTGATTTTTCAGATAAACAAGAAGTATATTTTTAGAATATGTTCTATGCAAAATGTATGACTCACCTATACTAAAAATTTTTTATTATTTTTCTGAAACTCAAATTTAAGAAAGTGTCATATATTTTATGTGGCAACCCTTTCCAGGTAGAGCTATCTTGTAAGATCCAAACTTAGGATTTTTGCCTTAAAACTCTATAAATGAATATGGGCTAACATATGTACTTGCTTAGCAAATGTTTGTTGAGTGAGTATGTAAATGAACGTTTAAAAATGTAGGCATGCTTTCCAGGAGAACTTAATTCAAGGAATTTATACATAAATGCATCTTTTCTCAGCAAGACTTTTAGATTTCTTTCTCTCTCTTTTTTTTAACTAGCAAGAGAATATATTATACAGATTTCTATCTTCCCACTTACATCTTTTTCACCAACAAAAGGTAAATGCATTGGTTTTTTTTCTAAATCACACTATCAACCGTTTTTGATAGTGGTGACCGTTTTTAGCCCATTGATATCCTCTGCACATAAGATAATTTTGCTTGTTACTTGGAGAAGCTCAGCTATTTCAGTCATGAAGTCAATGTAAATAGAGTAATAATAATAACATAACAGTGTTAGCAATGGGTAACAATAGTGGCACCAGGACAGTGTGATAGTCTACATAGGGATCTTGAAGTGTTACTACTATCAAGCCAGTGAGGGTAAGGGAGGGTGAGTATAAAACTGAAGTAAAAGCCTCTGTTTTACCACTTTGTGACTGAGTAGTGATTATAGGAAGTTCTTTCTAATTTCAACCTGAAACTCAGTTTTTCACATCTTCATAGTATGTATTTTATATAGTTGCTGTGAGAATTAAGTAATTTACGTGAAAGCACTTGGCTATAAGTGCTATAAAACTATCAAAGCTGTTAGGAATATATGTGTTATAGATGTTATAGTGGCATCATCCATTGTGCAGCATAGAGAGCCAGAAATTGTTTGCTGACAGGGGAAGGGGAAGTAATCTGCTCAGGGTAGTGTCTTCTTCCCCAAGTACCGGGGATTGAGCCACGGCCCACAAGGAACTACATCTCCATTCTCTCTTTTTTTTTTTTTTTTTTTTTTTTTTTTTTTTTGTATTTTTGATTGATTGATTGAGACAGGGTCTGCATAAGTTGCTAAATTATGGAGACTGGTCTCAAATTTATAGTTCTTCTACTTGAGCCTCCCACAATGCTGGGATTATACGCATGTACCCTCATACTCATCTTGGCTGGTATCTTACTCTTCGATATTATTGATTTGTTGGGTGTAAATGTTATTTTTTGCAGATACTAACATCTACCTTAGGCATAAAATTATGAGAGAGGGGAAAAAAGTTATAAGAGAGGGTAAGTAATGTGGGTGAAGTTCCCCGAGTTCTTCAGAATTCCCCTTACCACCAAAATATTTTAGTTTCACTGAAGCCACAGGTGTTTTGTCCCTGCAGTGTGTCCCCAGGAGCCAGTCACCAGGAACGGGCCAGAAAGATTGGCCAGTGATCTTGCCAACTGTATCTTAGGGTTGTGGGTTCTCCTTAAACCTCAGCTCTCTGTAGACCAAACTCCACAGCCAGTGCAAGCTCCATACAATTTCATGTGAGCACACTTCCATTGTTGATACTGCATCTTTCTCACTTCCTGGTCTGATCTTGATTTCCTCATTCGGAGGCTCTGCGTGTTCCAGGACACCCAGCTCTCCTCTTTGTCTTCCTTCCTTGCTACCTGCTGCATCACCAAGCACTCTGTCTTGGTTTTTCAACCTCTCACTGTGCTTACCCAAAGAGGACAGTATTGTGCTACAACAGAGGAGAGAGAGACAGGGAGAGTAGGAGAGGCAGATAGGAGCATTGCTTCTGAAAACAGCCATAGAGTAGCATTCACTGTCCTTTCTGCAGCCCAGAAGGAGCCTAGCTAGACTGAGAATCAGTAGAATAAGTGAGCCCATGGCGAGTCCCTAATACAAAGGTCACTTGGCAAAATCAGGGTTTCTTAGCCCATTACATTGGCTTTTGCTGGAACGTTTCAAGCTTTGAGCAGAACCCTCTGCATCTCCTCATTTAAGCAACATCTTTTTTTTCACTTGTCAGTCACAGTAAAGGAAATACCAGAGCTGGTCTATGAGAAGGAGTTGAAGGGCAAACATTGAAAACTGGAGAAAAATACAAACTTTCACCTCTTCCCTACCCTCGAAAAGACAATAAAGGACACTGCCTCTCCGCTCAGTTCTTCACCTGTCATTTGGCTTCTCTGCCTCCAGTGTTCCAGTCGCTGCTTGATAAGAAATCCTCTGTCTATTCTGTCAGTTAGCATTTCATTCGTGATACCACTTATTTCATCAGCATAGATAAATAGCAGACTGTATAGCGTAGACTATACAGACAGTACCCTGAACTCTGAATTGCACAGCTGTAGTATACTTGTTCACTTTATTGATTATCTGAAACAACTTTTTAAAATTCTGAATTGGCTTCCCTATGCCAGGCAAGTCATTTCTCTGTCGAATTCATCTATCTTCAGTTCCTTTGTGCTAAGTGGAATAGTTTGGTTTTCCTTAAAAAGATCACATCCTGTGCTAAGTGCTTTTTCTCTTTATGTTTCAAAACAACATCACAAGCAAGTACTTCTGTATTATTTCTATAGATAAGGAAACCGAGGTTTAGAGAGGTTAAATAACACGCCTGAGTCACTCAGCCAAGAAAATGGAATTTGTATCTGACTCCTACATCTCTATAGCCCCAAAATGGTTCACTTTAAAGTGAAGGGATTCATGTGAGCTTGTCCTTAATGTTGTAATTTAAGTATCCACTTTGCTTTTAGTATCCCTTAGTGACAAGTGAGTCTTCTTATTTCTGACCATAGGCTCAAACCTGGAAAGCTGTCTGCTGTCATTTATCTTCCCTTTTCCTTTCTTCACTTGGAGAGCAACAATCAGCAGACCGTGTCCGTTTCATTTATAGTTGCTATATCGCTTATAAGAAATATGCGGGAAAATCTGATAGGAAAAGAATAACATTTCGTATGGGTGATATTGCTCCAAGTCCATACATTTAGAAAGGAAAACTGTGGACACTGAGTAATCTCAAACTAATCCCCTGTTTAACCAGACAGTTCCTGCAATGCCCACGCTCCACCATCACAGCATTTTAATAATTACAGGGAACACCTTCCTTCAAAGGGCCCCAGATGCTTTGCAAACGTTTTATCCTCACTAACCGGCATACCGCTTTTCTGTGGCACGGAAGGGGACAGGATACTTTGTCCTGTTTAGAATGTGGAACTGCTAATATATTGAGAGACTGAGCAGGTTGCCATTGGGTCATTTGCGGGCAAGGCCAGAAGTAGAGTTGTCTGGGCATGGGGGCCACTTGAAGCAGAGACCAGCAAACTTACAAGCCATGGCAGGTGCTTAGTACAACTCCTCCCTTACAGAAAACAAAACACACCTAGAGAGATTAAAGCATTTCAGAAGCCCAGGGTCACACAAATAATTAATGGCAGAACTGATACTACATGCATACAAACAACATACATATATATGCTATTGAGAGAAAGATGAAAACTGTGAAAAATTAATTTATAGTCAGATGAGAAGGGTGTGAAAATAAACGGCCTTTGTCAGTGACCTTGCCTGAGGAAAAGCACACAGTTAGAAGGTGAAAGTTTCAAATAGCAAGAACATTTAGCACAGACAAAGTTTCAACTTCCTCACAGCCAAAATACCATCTGGAACTTAAGGCATGCTTCTCATTAAAGGTGACAGGTGGACATGTTTTAAAAGATATTTGGCCGCCTATCGTAGCCACTATAAATTGTACTGAAAGTACAAGGATAGCAAAGACCAGCTGAATTCCAAGCATGTTTACAGCTGACATAAACGTTTTAACTAAAAATAACACACATGACTGTCTCTCTTAGGGAATCTCTCATTTCAAAAAAATTTACCGACATAAACATTATGCATAGACAGCTCTTCAGCAAACTGAGATTATTAGCCATGATCCTTTCCTAACTTCTTCTATTTTAGTCTAAAAGTGGACTAAAATGAGAACTATTGTTCTCACCTAACCTTGTGGTCCTTGCATCATATTGTCCCATCAATGTGCCGCAGAACAAGTCCTTTTATATTTTAAAACACAACAACCACAACAAAAACCAATGGGAGAAAATTTCACAAAATGGATTGTGAACCTAAAAACACTTAACGCCGAGCCTGGCACATAATAAACATATAATACCTGGTGATTGTTTTTATTGCTGTTAATACTGTGACACGTGAAACTGCCTCTATTTCATAATAGGAACATATTCAAGACATATACTTTACATGGAAATTACCTGAAAATCAAGAAGTCGATTCCTTGCCCTGCTGAATCTCTAGTGCAGAGGTTGAGACATTACCCTAGAGAGGTTCTGGCTTTGGGTTTTTAGGCCAACCACATTATAGAAATGTACATAGAAGGAACTTTCTGCTCTGAGGTAGGTGCCTCTGTTGGACAATCGGTAATAAAATGGGAGAGATATATTAATCCCTTTATGTAGTTCATCTCACCTATCGAGCACAGAATAACAAAAGCTGAGAACAAACAATACAAACACAAACAAGTGTTTAAGTAATTATCCGCAGAGATGTCATAGATCCACAAACTTGCCCTATAGAAGAATCCTCATGTCATGATTCAATGACTGAGAAATCTTACTTACTTTACTATTTTTAACTAGCTTGATCATTTGGTTCCTAAGCCAATGGCAAATCAAAGCAGTAAATGAAGAGGAAAAAAAAGACTTCTGCCAAGAGGCTAAGAAAAAAGAAAGAGAGAATAACTATTCTAGAAACTGACCTAAGTTTAAAAAGCATATGGAACCATTTAATGGAGTGGGGGGGCTTGTAATAAGAATACCATGCAAGTATTCCCACACCACCCTTGGTGGTCTACAAAGTGATTTCGTATGTATTTTCTGTCAACATCAGCACAACGAGGTAAGTAGGACTCTACCTCGGAGCCATTTGGTGATTTGTCTTAGTGATATAGTGTGTTGGTGCCTAAATTTGAACAGCATCGTTTGATTTGGAGACCAGCATGTTATCCACCACCCACTCAACTTTCACACCTATGAAGGCCCAGCTACAGCTCTGTGCTCAATACAAAATAGCCCGTTAACTCGTACTACATTTAAGGACGATTTCTCCCTAAAATCTATAAAACTGGAAAAGCGTAGCTCTTCTGAATAATGTCTATGTTAACAAGTATCTTCCAGACTTAGAATTATGATGAATACATTTACTAAGCAAAATAGTAAGTGGGAAATAGGGACTTTTCCAAAAGACCCAAGCTATATGACAAATATTCCTAATCCCCACAGAATCAAAAGAACCTCATTTCTCCAAAGAACTATTGTTTCTTATATTTATTTGACACTGTTAATGAGAAGCAATTAAATCCCTAATTAAGATACTGAAAATGACTCCTGAAAAAGTAGCCCTCCCTTTTCTCCACAGCACAATCTTAAAAGACTTTTAGTGGGGGAGACCTTGTAGTTTTTGAAGATAGCCATTTTTGAGCATGTGGAAAACTAGACTATCCTGGCATCCCTTAAAGCAAGATTTCTCTGATCATGAGAGGCCAAGAAGGCCTGGAATTTTCCAACCAAAAATGATCCATTCAACAATCAGATTTTATTTGTAAAATTCTTTTGTTTTTCTTTTTTGTTGTCTTGTTTTTCTGTCTTTTCATTTTCCCACCTTGGCTGTGTCTCGCCCTGTCCTGCTCGCTGTCTCTTCCTACATCAACAGGTGAGAAGCCCCACCAATGCAGCATCTGTTGGCGATCCTTCTCCTTAAAGGATTACCTTATCAAGCACATGGTGACGCACACGGGCGTGAGGGCGTACCAGTGCAGTATCTGCAACAAGCGCTTCACCCAGAAGAGCTCCCTCAACGTGCACATGCGCCTCCACCGGGGGGAGAAGTCCTACGAGTGTTACATCTGCAAAAAGAAGTTCTCCCACAAGACCCTCCTGGAACGACATGTGGCTCTGCACAGTGCCAGCAACGGGACCCCTCCCGCAGGCACACCCCCGGGTGCCCGCGCTGGCCCCCCAGGCGTGGTGGCCTGTACGGAGGGGACCACCTACGTCTGCTCCGTCTGCCCAGCAAAGTTTGACCAAATTGAGCAGTTCAACGACCACATGAGGATGCATGTGTCTGACGGATAAGTAGTATCTTTCTCTCTTTCTTATGAACAAAACAACAACAGAAAAAGAAATAAACAAACAAAGCTATGGCACTAGAATTTAAGAAATGTTTTGATTTCGTTTTTACTTTCTGTTTTTGTTTTTGTTTTGTTTCATTTTGTACTACATGAAGAACTGTTTTTTGCCTGCTGGTACATTACATTTCCGGAGGCTTGGGTGAATAATAGTTTTCCCAGTCTCCCTTGGATGGTGGCCTTAAGGCCTGGTAGTGCTTCAGGAGATCCACTGGTTGGATCTCTAGCTACTGGCCTCTAAATACAACCCTTCTTTACAAAAAAATCTTTTTAAAAAGTTAAAAAAAAAAAAAGAAAAAAGAAAAAAAAAAGAAAAAAATTTTCCACTTGTGAAGAGCACTACAAAATATATAACAAAATCTAAAAGGCCTACTGTCTTTAAGTACACCGCTTGCAGTGTTTCCATGGACATTTTCACAATTCTGGCCGCTTGGACTTCACAGTAACCAGTAAAACTGTGGAATATCACTTCTGGTGAAAACCCAGAGGAAAGGCCCTGCTGTTTTCCACCTACCACGCTGTCTGATTTCATAAAAGGGCTGTGGGGGTGGGAGGGGGCAGTGGGGTCAGTGGTGTGGGAAAGCGGGGAATGGCAGGCTTCTCCCCTAGATTCTGCCTGCCTCCACACACCCTGGCTCGTGTCCTCCACGTCCCCCCCTTTCAGCAGAAGCCAGGAAGACTTGGACAAGCAACAAGCAACAGTGGCTATCGTATTTATTCAGTGTCTTCGCTGGGCCACAGCCTCGGCACAATCAAGAGGGACTTTCATGAAAGGCAGGAATGCAGATAAAACAAAGATATCAGAGATTTGCACCTATGTTTCTAGGTACAAGAGGATTATTTCCAACAATCTTTGCAAAAAAAAAAAAAAAGTGTCAGGATATATTCTTGTGGAAGAGAAAAAGAAAGAGAAATGGAGGGTGGGGGGGACAATAAGAAGTTCTTGAGGCTTTTTTAATTCAAAATTTTATAGGGGGCAAAAGTGACATTTACCAGATAGAACGCTGATTTTTTTAATATATTTACAACAGTATTTGTGTAAAAAAAAAAACAAAAAAAGAGATTGTTAAAAGTAATTTTTTTTCATTTTGGTTTTGCATACACTGCCACCAATCCCTTCTCTTTTATTTTGTTTCACACACATATATATATTTTTTGGTAAGTCAAGACTGTTAAGGTTAGCAATACTGCTTCCAGACAGAAAGAATAAAAAGCAACTAAAGTTATATTTGAAAGAGAGGAAGGTTATTTTCTTCATTTTTTTATTTTTCTTAATTTTTATTATTTTAAGTATTGCCTGGGTTGATGAGGGCCTGCGTGGCCCACCCATCCCTGCTGTAATTTGAACTGCTGCTTTGTATTTTGATATGTAGTTCTTGACTTTTAGCAAGCTTAAGTTGCTCCACTGAATACTTGTTTCACTGATCCATCTAGAATTCTTTTCTTTTTCATGGAAGGGACTTTATCTTTCCGAAGCAGACTTCTTGCTTCTTCAAAATTTCATTGCACTCTTATGAGTCTAGAATTTCTATTGACTTTGCTTTTTGTCTTGCTGTAGTCATCTACAGATCTTGACAAATGGGTTTGTTTCTTTTGTGGTCAGCCAGGAGGGGGACTTCACAGAACTTCGCCGCACCTCCTCGCCTTTCACAAGCCTGTGGGCATCATTATGAGAAGCCTGTTACAAACCGTGATGCGCTGATGCCAAAATTACTTTTTCTTTCAAATATCACCTTCTGACTCTTTCCACCATGGCTAAGCGGGCTAAATAAGATGTTTGTTCTTTAGATGATTTGATTTATTAATCCTTGCTTTTTGGAAAGGTCTTTGGAAATTTAGAATTTCCTGGATGCCAACATCCACCATTCAAAAGGCCACCAATCTATTGCAGCATGCCAGATGCCACCCTCTCTTCCTAGTTGGGATTTCTCTCCTCGGTCCTGATCAAGAAATCGTAACAGAAACTTTTTCATTATAGACAGTGTCTTAAAGGGATTCTAACTCAGAAACAGAACTTTTTACATGTAATATTCCTGGAGTGATTTCACTATGGGGCATATTGTAATATACTTAAAGGAAAAGTAAATCTTCAAACAGACCAGAAACACCAAGCTATCATTTTAAAAACAGAGAAAAGAGAGAATAATTTACTTGCAAAAACTACACTTTAATTTAATTTTCCTTCTAACATTTTATTTACAAAAAGCATGTAGCAAACGAGGGAAAATCTTCCAAAGCAAGCAACTCTATAATGACTAAATTGATTTTGTTCGTGTTTTGGACATTGGTTAACTTGGATCTTTTCCATAAGTTATTTGTGATGTTTAGTAGAGTTTGTGCAACTGGAATATTTGTGACTTCATCTGTCCTACAGTACTTAATTCAGTGAATATTTTGCTAGAAGTTTTCAAGTAGACTTGGATGGTAAACTGACTGGATGTCCAAAATTCACCTATTCTGAAAGTCAATGAGAAATTGCTTCAGAAATAGAAAAACTCCAATTTTTTCTTGCTTATTTTGCTTTCTACAGTATGTGTTGACTAATATTTCCACATACCACCAATAGAGGGAGCATTAAGTAACTTTGCCATGGAACATTTTGGTATTTTGAAAAACAACCCATTCAACCCATAAGTTGAAAAAGATTGACACAGAGAAAAAAATAGAAGAAAGTGATATGAAATAACTCAGCATATATTATCAATGAAAAAAGGCCCCATGCCATTTTAAAATATTTTCAACTGTTTGGCAATAATGCCTTTAAAATATTGTCTTTATTCAAACCTTAGCCACATAGACAGAATTCATTATAGTTCCAGAAAAGTTGATCTTGCGTGCATTTGGGCAACATGTAGCTGTCTGCTTCTGAAAGCTGAAGAAGACCCATTTGTCTTAATGATTTGCCAGTGTAAAAAGCTATACAACTGGGTTGAAATCCAGCTTCTGTCATAGAATATGTAGAGGAAAAAAGAAAACTTCCAGATGACTAGAAACTCTGATGTTCATTCTTTTCCTGTAAAGCAGTATCTCTTTTTTAATAAGTTGGGGGTTCCTAAACAATTCTTGGTAAGGTGATATCATCACTGTCATAGTTATCAAATAGGTTATGTAGGTTTGCCTGGCAGTGGACTTCTTCCTACTATGTGTTTTTTTCCATCCACACATCTCACAGCCCAAATAAGTTGGCAGATTATTCTTTGAAAGCAGGAAGAAGCTACAGTAGAATTGGAGCTCAAATCCAGGGGAGCAGAGAAGCTGCTGTGGGTCTGTTATAAAACTGTCCTCTGATGGGCTGCTTTTCAAACTGACCCACATTTTAGAAAATAAAATCATCCTTACCTGCTTCAAAGGGATAGAGATGCTCCCAGATTGCCAATCCTGTGTTACAACTAAACAATCATAAATATCTTAAGAAACAGGGAAACATTTTGCCTCCAGAACTGAAAATAAGTATGAATCCTTTTTTGGTTTCAAATCCCACAAGTTTTACACTTAGACTTTCATGCTAGGATGCTATTGGTGCTTTTTAAAAATTCTTTTTAGTAGCCAGGAAAAAGATAAGATGGAAGCAGATGTTCCAGATTTAAGATCTTTTAGGGAACAAGAACCGGTGTGGGAAGGAAGATTTTTTAAAGGAGCTTATGATTTAAGAAGAAATTTGCTAAGCAGAGAAGGGGAAAAAGTCAAAGAGGAGTGTTTATCTCAAGACATTTTGATACCGTTTATGATAAAGAAAATTTCCTAATGCTAAACATTGGTAGTGTCTCAACATCCTATTAAATGCCAACGTTTGTGTAAAATATAGGTCTAGAAAAGAAACAAATTGGAACATACAGATCTGATACAGATGGATAATGAAGAAGGGTTAGGAAACAATCCAAACCCCTCAGAAACATTGAAATGAAATCCTGTACATCAAAACATTTTTTACTATATATTTTAACTGAGTTGTAAACTATTGCCCCTTAAAAAAGTTTTACTGGCTTTTCCCACCCAGAATTTCTAATGCTGTGGATCCTTTTGTGCATGAGTAAGTGTGGTGGGTAGTTCCCGGCTTGTGGTCCACATCCACCCTCCTTCCTCTCTGCTAGTCATGTTACAGGTCACTCTAGATGTTGGCCTTAGAAAGACTTGGGTTTGCTTGAAGACTCATGGAGGTTTTATTTTGTATCATAATATTCTACAAGGACCAAAAAACCCTATTCTATTCTGATGGATTTCTGCATATCTGATGATGAAAAATGTCTGCATTCTGATGATGAAAACAGAAAAGGTTTCCTCTGGAGATGCTTGCTTCCCTTCAAGTCCTAACATCTTAATCTACTCCCACTCCCCTCATCCAAAACCACCAGCAGTATGTGCCCTGCTTATGCCCCCAAGTCAGTGTTTTTTTTCTAAACACAGAATTAAAAGCGAAGGGTGTCCTGTATAAAGATCCTCAGATCCACAAGAAAACATAATAAAGGCTCTTGTTGCTTCCTTGTTGGGGCCCTTAGGAAAGGAGGAAGTGATGTCAATCTGGCCAGAGTTCACACTAGATATGTTCATTTTGGAGCCTTCCACTGTTGTTATTAAAGACATTATTTAATTAGTTGAGGCTTGATGTAGGGATATCTGATTCTGCCGAAAAGGTATCAGATGATCCCATCGGATCTGGCTCCGCTGTCGCCAGGGTAGTGCTGCAGCAGAGGGAACAAAAGGACAGTGCAGTGTAAGAGCAGACACAACCTGAGATGCCCTGGGGATTGAGAGCAGGAGGGCGCCCTTTCTGTTGTGACTTGACTCTTTAAAAAAATCTTCTAAAAGAATTCTTTAATTTAGTCATGAATTGAAGTCCAGGGTAATGGAAGCTCTGGGGAAGATAATAAAAGAATGGCAAAATGTATTCAACACCTAACAATGCTACACCAGAAAAAAATCCAGCAGCAAAACTAGGAAGTTTGGCAAGAGGTATTTAGAGAAATCTCTGGGCTTTTCCATGGGCAGGGTGGACAAACTTTCTTTTGAGTGATTTCTGGCTCTGAGAAACCTCTTTACTTGGTAGAAAAGAACTTTATTTAAATGGCCAATTTTGTACCCCCCCGGGAGAAAGAAATTAAAAAAAAAAAAAAAAAAGGAAAAAAATAGGACACTAAAGACAGAACCATGTGACTTGGTGACAAACACAAAGAAGGGTGCACTAGAATTTCAATAGACTCCCTAATTCCATAGAAAAAGCAAAGCAACCCAATGCCTCTGAGCTCCAGACTCTCGGTCTGCAGTGAGTGGAAAGAGTGCTTGAGCTGGCCCAACCTCCAGGGCTTTCTAAGGCTAGACATAATTTCCCCACTGGGACCACAGCAAGCTCTTTCTCCTCTCTGTGTTTTCATGAAGAAAAGGGCTGTTCTCTTAGATACCCAGAAAATAGATTATGTGGGGCAAAATTTCAAAAGCAATCTCTGCCTTGGTGCTCAGGCTGCCTAAGAAGTAGAAATGGGGCACAAAAGAGCTCTTGCACTTGAGGGAAAACATTTTCATATTCCTAAGGGCTTGCTCTGTAGAGTTATTGCTGATACCACTTAAACTTCCAAAAGAGGAAAGGCTATGGTGACTCCATGTCCCAATAAACACAGCATGTGGAAATTACTAATTCAAAGCACCGTTTCTAGCACAGAAATAGCAAGATGATCCACTTGACTAAAATACCCCA